TGAAAGCTATCGTCATTTGCCTTCGGCCCTGTGCCTGTGGCCTGTTCAAACACATTGTGTGTGTGTGTGTGTGTGTGTGTGTATGTGTGTGTGTGTGTGTGTGTGTGTGAATGTATTTAGGAGAGAGAGAGAGAGACCTAAACCAGGCCCTGGGAACATTAACTCCTCTCCCCCTGTGTGACGTGGTGACTGAGTGTGAGGCACATTTTTCAAGGTACAATGAGTTTTATAAGTGTGTGGACAGCACCATGCTGTTTAAAGGTTTTCGCGATTTGTAATCGCATTAATTATGTTTACTTTAGAAGTTAAACAACAAATAAAAAGGGCAGGATGTTGATGTATTTATAGAAAGTTTTCACCCCATTTCAAAGTGATTTCTGGCCAGATTTAAATTCTGTCTAATGATGTCTTGACTTTTTGATCAAATTGTTTTAGTTTGGAAAACCACAATACATTGTTGTCTGAAACCCATGAACATCGCCATGAACATTGCCAGGTGTATTGGTGCATAAGCTCTAAATAAATATGCGATATGTAAATGTGGGTGAATAAGTAAACAAGGCACTGCATTATCAACGTACTTGATCAACCAACCCCAAGAAAAGCATTTTCTTAACATAGATGAACAGTTCTCTGTGCTTATGTTCATTTTTTTTATATTCTTCAGGTTAACTGTTTATTCCACAAATTAAAATGAATAATTGAGTTGGATATGAATTTTCATGTGAATACAGTTACCTATACAGTCCTTTAATTCACAGTTTCACTTTGATTTACCTATTTGAGATTTTGGTGCCTTTCCTTAACCTGACAAATGATTGTGAAATCTTAAAAAGAATCCTAAAGCTTCATAATACAGTTTGACATAATAATCATAATGAGACATTTTAACCACAATACAATGTGACCTGTCAGCTCTGTACAGGACATGCTGTTTTGCCAGGTAAATGGACAAGGGTCAACAGGAGGTTAATACCTGAATCTGTAGATTAACTCCTGGTCTTTCTGAATGGTCCTTGTAGACTATAGGTGACTATTATATTGTTACTCACACTTTAAAGTGTAAAAGAGGGAGGGAATTAAAGTCTCCTGTCATATTCTACAACAATTATTTGAAGTTTGTCATGTTTCATTACTGAAAGAGAGGAGTTTCTTTTGGATTCCATGTTATTAGAAGAACTGTGTATGCCTGTGCGTGTGGTGAGATATTTAGGAGAAAATCACAGTAGGAAGTAGCCAATAAAAGACTCTCTGGCTTAATTTGGATCTTTTTATTTCCTATTTTGCCTCAATTTCTCCAACCAGGTCGAATTGACCAAAACATTATTTCAGTTATTTAAACATGCCAGGGGCCCAGCTATGCTTAAATTAATTTTTTTTTTTTAAGTTCATTAAAACAACTCAGGCAAGGAGAGAAAGTATGATATTGAGTGAAATGTCTTTATTCTTCCCCAAGTAAAACAGGTCAGTTTGACCTGGAAGATAATAAGAAGCTTAAGAAGGCAGACAAAACTGCTGAAGTGGAACGTGCCAGTTCTGTAAAGCTCTGGTGCACAACTGAATGTCGCTGCAGCCAGTTCACTTCCTGGCTAGTACTTCTCCATTACTCACACCTTCATTCAGCCTCATTACCTGCCATCAGCTTACCTTGTCTGACACTCTCCCCCATGTCAACCATCACCCTCCTGTGTTCCCGCTCTACTTGACTCTGCTCTCATCTTCTTTTTAAGAGAAACTCTTATTTACGTATTTGGAAATTCATCATCACTCTGACTACAGTGATGATGACTAATGTATAAATTAGGTGCGGAGGGGATAAATTGGGCCATGACCAGCCTAAGGACTCAGAAATATGACTTATTATCTGGGCATGGTGACTTAACTACTTATTATTAGTTGCTTTTAATACTGGCAATTTCAAAGAAATAAGCTTAAGATACTTTTACACGGCACTTAGAATGAGAGGTGTGTTAATGCATAAAATGCATTATGTAAATGCATCAAGAGCATGAGAGCAAAAATGATTTGATTCCAAAAATATAGATGTACTGAGCCAAAGTGATGTGTCATGGTTTGAAGGTAAGTATGAGAGTGAGATTATCGGAAGTGTGGAGTTCACTACATATTTTGTTATGCTGTGTGTGTGTGTTCTGTTTATGTATATTTATTTTTTGTTTTATTTCACATTTGCTTCAGCAATTTAAATGTGAAAGTTTAAAGACAACAAAACTTCATAAATACTCACATCTGTGACACAAGGTCATGTGACCACAAGACAACACATCTGATATCCATAGATAGTGGTGGTAAAATGTGACTAAGTGCATTTACTCAAATACTGTACAATTTTGAGGTTTCTTTACATGAGTTCTTTTTTTTTTTTTACGCTTTTACTTCACTACATTTCAGAGGCAAATGCATATTTTGTTCCACTACATTTATCTGACAGGTAATAGTTACTGCTTACTGGTCAAAATAAGATTTTAGACACAATACACATGATTGTCTTGTAAAACATGGCACATTGTAACATGCTGCTTACACATTATTACCTCAGTAATAATTAATGAAATAATGTATAGGCTAATTAAATAACACTGACAGAGGCCATTCTCCTTCACAATGTGTACTTTTACTTGTGATAACTACATTTTGTTGATTATACTCCTGTACTTTTACTTATGTACTTATACAGAGCTTGTATAAGTACATAATATCTGTATAATATACAGAGAGTATATTTTACATTGTGGAATTGCTACTTTTAGCTTACTGTACATAATGCATTGGCACTGCATACACATTTAGTCAGACAGGTATGTGTAGAGAAGTACTCTTTACACAGCATACAAGACATCAATATTAAATTTGAAGTGAAACATGATGAAACATTTGTTTAAAAACTTTATGATGTCATATAGCTCAAGTGAACTGGCCGAAAAGGACAGTAAGGAATAGATGACCAAACAACTGCTGCAAAACTTACATAATGCCATATGACCTGAGTGCAGACACTGAACCTCAACCTGCTGCGGGTGAGCTCAAACATCATTCTCCTTCAGAACCAAAAGAATTCAAAGTGACATCTGGCATTTTGGTGCTCAGACAGACCCTTTCTAAATAACTTGAGGCCACTTAACATGCTGTGTCATGAAAAGCCAAACTGTCCACAAGGCCAGCGTCTGACTGTGTAGGAACACATACTCCAAAATGTTCCTTTAATATATTTTTTGGAAGAGCGATTGATCAAAAGTAAGACTTTTTAAAGTCTTAGATTAACATAAAGTTAATTTGACAGTTGTTTTATTGTAAATGAGCTAACTTCTAAGAGTAAATACATAAAAACACACAAACAAAGTCCAGAATTTAACACTAAACAACAGCATTAATTACCAAAATATTCAGACTAATTTGTGACTTTGTTACGTATTATCTTTGGAGGGCATATTTTAAATGTTTTTAAATGAATATTCAGTGGCTATAATCATCTTTTAAAATCCCACAGAAGTGTTGCATAATGGGCATGTTTACACTTGTTTTATCTGGGGATGAGAGCTTGAGAGCGTGTAGGCGTGCCGTGGACTGTGTTGGTGATAAAAGAGTGTGTAGGTGGGAGGGCAAACAAACAATTATTTGCTGGGCTGTCCTGTAATACATTTAGCTGATATCTGAATTACCACCACAACCAAAGATCTTCCCAGTGAATCTGAAATCAATTCAAGTAAAGTTTCAGTCTGGTTATATTCTCTATTTTCTATTGTCAACAAATCTCATGAAAAGACAAAATGGCATCAATTAATTGATCCATACGAACAAGTGTTATATGTGTAGAAAAAAGATGATACATAAGTCCTCTACATTGTTTCACTAGCTGACATGTTTCTTTTATTCTGAGTCATTCTCACATACAGTGTCCCACTGCTGGAAATAATCACTACTACTATAGCAGGCCAAATGTGTATTAATGTGTTTGAATTGAACATGAACATTTGCTAAAAACTACAGTGCCCAGCTTTTTTAGAAAATACATTTCCATTTTCTATTTAGTCATTACTACTACTGATTTTCAGTAGGAAACAATGGGCTTGGGGCTGAGAACCACAGATGGCCTAGCAAAGTTAAGTAAATTATTGCGAGATGAACTCACACATTGTTGGTTTAAGTCTTTTATTGGAGTTGTTATCAGTACATTTTTTTTAATCATTTGCTGCCTTACCTTTAACCTATAATAAAGGAAACAGAGCCCAGAGTTGGTAAATAGAGAAGGCTACTGTTACAAAATATCTAAGTTTTAAATACGTCTTGCAGGACAGAAATAAAAGTGATATGACTGAATTGCTGAAAACTGAAAACTGGATCGGTATTAGAACATTGAACTAACTGAATATAATAAGAAACCTGGCACAGGGAATCACTGTAACCCTTTACAATAAATTAACCAAAAAGCTCAAAGGTATCCTTTCGTTTTGCGGCCTAGAAGAAGGGTTATCTGACGGAACAGTGAAGAAAGTGTTTCTCAGGCTATAATAGCAACTGATAATGGGATAACAAGTCATTGATTTACTAAGTTCACACACCTCTCCTGCAGTAATTGCATGCCACCGTTTGACCAGGGAAAATAAGTTCTCCAATTAAATCTATTTCAGTGATGAATGGGACTTGGGTCTTCAGAGTCATTATAGAAAAAGCGATGAGAATCAATACCAAAAATGACCTCTGACTTCCCCCCAGCACTACTTTTATCACACCATGACTGTCACTGTGTGGTCCCTTGGATCTCCTGCTGTGTTATTTGTTGGTCATGTTTGATGGAAGAATCACACATTTTATTAAAAAATGACGCATCCAATTATGACAAATTATAGCACCTATTAAAGCTGACACATGTAATGAACTCCACTCGCAAAATAGTCTTTATAAATAAAAATAAATGTTTTTTTATACTAATGCACTGCAGAGAATGAGCCTATGGATAACAGATACAATACATTCAACAAATATGCTTTTTAAATTGACGTGTTTAATATCTTCATAAAAACGAAACACATAAATTGACAAATAACAGATCAATTATAACGACCAGACCCAATTTTGTGAACATGTCTGGCATCTTTCAACTTTTATTAGCAGATGGGTACATGGCCAGCATGAGTATCAAAAACAAAAAATACATTCTTTAGGATTTTGCTGTGATGGCAAAACACACTGTACATACCAAATGTATCAAATATTTTCATCTTGCATTATCAAACATAGCTGAAGCATCTCTTTGATATATTGCATAAAATACAGCAATATTACATTGGTTTCTTTGTGGCATAAGGCAAACTTTGTATTTGTTTGTTTTTTGGTGAAAAAATGTTGTACATGAATTCTTCTTCATGTTAAATGTCATATTATACAGTCGGGTATCTATACAGCAAAGAAAAGTATTACCAAAAAACATCTAAATTGTGTGCTGTTAAGACAAGACAGCAGACTTCTTTCCCTCTGTGTATTCACTGCCTGTGTAATGTCACAGAGTCCTGCTTGCATTGACATTTGCGAGAAAGCTTCAGAAAGTGAGGAAACTGAGAACTGCGTAAAGAGGAAGAGACAGAAACAGTAAATATTTGTGGATTTGCTGACAGAAATTTAAATGAGAAACAAAGTAAAGGCCATAATTAAGGTTAAACCTTTTTATATACAGTCTATGGGTTAAACATGCTGAAAACACCAACTTTGCATTCCAAGAGGCAGTGGTGGAGTTCTGACTGTGCAGCATAAACTCGATAGGATGACCAGAGATCAAGAAAGTGACAATGATGCCATCTAGAGGCATCAACGCAGCTCTAGCCTCATATTTTATCTTATTAACATTGCCCTAATGTTGTTGGTGTTTTTAAGAGCGTTAGTTGGTGTCATGAGTCCTCTTCATTGTAAAAAAGAAAGTAGACGAGACAGATGATGACCAGCAGAGCGACTGATAGCAGCATGTTCTTCCGATTCTCTCCTCTTAATGTCTCCAGCTCCTTGTCTAGAAATGGGAAAACAAAATTGATGTGAAGGCACTGATGTCTGGCAGCATTCAATCTAAAACCTGATGAAGGAACAAAACCTGCAATTGCTCTGCTGGTGACCTATTGCAGTAATGGCAGAGTCAATTAATGTTTAGTAATAGAATATAAAAACATTAAACAGGGTTTTCATTACGAGTTTGATGGATACTTTTATGACCTTGCTGTTCTCAAGAGTAACTCAGATCACTTATATGACTTTAAATGTAGTGGATAGATGGCTGTGGTTTGAACCGCCAACCTACACCATGATGACTACTATGTCTATATTGTAAAACATTAAATATATTCTTGTATATGCTTGCAGTGATTTGTACAGTACGAATAATATAGATATAGACTTACCTAACTTTTGCACCCTTTCATTAATGATTGCCAATTCATCTTCCAGTTCCTGCCTGTGGAGCAGAGAGGACGAGACAAGGACAAGCAGTAACATTAGGAGTTTTTTTTTATCATACAGTCTATGAGGTTTTTATCTTGTAAAGTTGAGGTGTTAGAAAATGGCACAATCTCCATCGTCGTCTTCAACCTCCTCCTCCTCACCTTTGCTTGTCAGAGAGCTCCTCTTTCCTGCTCCTGAACTCTGCCCTCTCCAGGTTGTTCTGGCAACGCGCCCGTCGCTCCTCCAAACGGTCGATCTACAATGTTTAACAGAAACAAAACAGCAAAAGCAAGTTCAGCTAGGTTCGACAACTTTGACAGAGATTAGTTAGTTAGCCGACAGGACAGTGACTGCATGAAATGTGTGTAACGTTACGCTGAACGTGAGACAGTGTTAAAGATGCAGTAGCAAGCTAAATAACGTTAGCTAACCTACCTACAGGCGAACTAGCTAAAGACAACGTTCCGACGTCTTACCTCAGTGGCGACACTGGTTTTCTCTCGTCTTTTGTCTTTAAATTTAGCCATTTTTGTTGACAGCCTGGCTGAGATGGAAAACTGTGACTATGCGGAAGTGTTTTTCTTCTTCTTCTGTTCCTTTCCGGCAGACTAGGCACTGTTAGTGCATTGCTGCCTCCCACAGGTGATAAAGACAGTCTTCATTAAAGCTCCCCCTGACCTATATTTTCCAATATAGGCCCGTGGCTTTTAGGAAGTGAAATAGTTCCAAGGCTCTTTCTGTTTGATTAGGACCATCACCCATCAGAGTTTTTACAGATAATAGATCAACTCCCAGAACGTTTAGGCCAATGAATAATAATCTCCTTTCCTCGGCATATCTCGGACAGAACATGATGACATGCTTGACAGACTCCTGTACTCCACAGACTTGGCACTTGCCGTCCCTGTGCTTTCCTACCAGGAACAGCCCACTTGCCAATCCACAATGACCCAGTCTTAATCGGGCCAACTTAATCTGATCCATCCGAGGCAAGATAATTGATTTCCCAGGTTTGACTAATGGTTTTACGTCATAGAACTTTCTCCCGCTGGTGTCTTTACTCCACTCGTGTTGCCATTGTTGTGTCAGTCTTTCCTTAATGATGCTACGGCACTCCAGTCTGTCAAATGGTACCTCCACCTCCACATTTTCCCTACCTAAACTTGCCCTCGCAGCCTCATCAGCAGCCTCATTCCCCTCAACCCCCACATGTGCTGGAACCCACCCCCCGCCTCTCTAATCTATAAACCCTTGTTAAGATCTCCCCAACTAAATCTAACCTAGCCCCTCCTCTTTCTCCCCCTATTGCCATCAAGCCAGATAGTGAGTCAGAACAAATGATGGCTTTCTCCACCCCACTTTCTTCTACCCACCACAAAGCCCATATGATTGCTACCAGTTCAGCTGTAAAGATTGAAAGACCATCAGGCAGTCTATGACACTGTCTAACATGAAACTGGGGAACATATAAACCAAAGCCCACTTTCTTATTCTCAGGGTCTCTAGATCCAGCTGTATAAATATCTATGTAGCTATTCCATAATTTCCTAAGATGCTCCTGTACATAATGTGCAACATTTCCTACACTTCCTTCCTTTATTAAATTTTTAATAGATATGTCTACATCAGCCTCAGGCAATAGCCATTGAGGGCCAGTTGACAGAAGGCACCATTTTCCTTTCATTAAGCTTAAGCTCCTCTGCGTATGTCTTAACAGAATGTAAAACACTATATCTATTAAGCCTACTCTCACCCCTTCTAAACTCCCAACACTCTGCTAACAAAGAAACTGAAGGAAGAGCTGACCCAAAGCTTTTAATTTTTACGAAATAATTTAATGCCAGTTTTGCACGTCGCAGCCTTAGCGGAACCTCCCCTGCTTCCACTAACAGCGACAGAATCGGCGTTGTCTGGAATGCCCCAGTACATATCCTCAAAGCCCTAGATTGAACCACATCCAAGTTATTAAGCGTGGACCTAGCTGCTGATCCATATGCAAGACACCCATAATCAAAAATTGATCTTATCATAGCTTTATAAATCATCAGCATAAGATTCCTGTCTGCACCCCAAGAACACCCAGCAAAACACCTCAAAATATTAATAACCTTTCCACATTTATTCACCATTCTACATACATGTTCTTTATACGTTAGCTTTTCATCTACCCAGACCCCAAGAAACTTGAAGACCCTGGCTCTCTCAAGAGGTTCCCCATACAACTTAAGACCCAGACTGTCTATATTCCTCTTCCTGCCAAAAACCATATACTTAGTTTTTTTCAATGACAGCCTAAAACCCCACTTATCACCCCAAGCCTGCACCTTATTCAAAGCACACTGCATCTGTTTAAATAAGTACTCAGTATTACGGCCTCTTTTCCACATTGCTCCATCATCTGCAAACAAAGATCGCTGAAATCCACTTCCTACCTCATCAAACATATTATTAACCATTACATTGAACAGAACTGGACTGATGACACGACCCTGCGGAGTCCCATTTTCTACGAACACAGAGTCAGAAACGCTCCCTCCTACTCTTACTTGTATACACCGTGACTTCAGAAAGTCCTTAATCCAATTAATCATTCTGCCCCCCATCATACAACTTAATGATTACTCCTTCTTTCCACAGCATATCATAAGCCTTCTCTATATCAAAAAACACACCTACCACCACCTCTTTATTTACAAGGGCTTTCTTGATATCATCATCCAACACTAAAACTGAATCCATAGTACCACGACCAAGTCTGAAACCATTCTGATATGTAGAGAAAAAAACTTTCTTTTCTAATCTATATACCAACCTGTCAGTAACCATCCTTTCCATAATCTTACAGATAACAGCTGTGAGAGCAATTGGTCTGTATGACCCAGGGTTTTCAGCTTCCTTACCGAGTTTTAAAATCGGCACAATCACTGCGTGTTTCCATTCAGCTGGAATTGATCCTTCCTCCCACACTGTACTAATCAATGCCAATACCTCCTCCAATGCAAAGTCATCCATATGCTGAAAGATCTCATATCCCAATCCATCTCTTCCAGGAGCAGTGTGCCGCCCTCGTCTTATTGACCTTCTTAGTTCATGTATGGAAAAGAACACATTGATTACATCACTGTTGTCATTATTCTTGTTAAGTTTCTTTCTGCTCAAGCATTAGCTCCCTCCTAATCAAACCTTCACTGCCAACATTCCTATCACTGTGCACTTGCTGGAAACTCCTAACCAACAGATCAGCCTTGTCCTCATTACTTACCACTTCTCTACACCCTTCTACCAAAACAGGAATAGAGAAACCTCTATTCATTCCCGCCATCCGATGAATCATATTCCAAACCTGTTTAACAGTAGTCTCAGAACCTAGAGTGCCACAGAACTTCTGCCAACTCTCTCTCTTCGCACACTTTATAACCTTTATAGCCTCAGCGTTGCTTATATTCAACAACAAGGCTCTCAACAGGACATCTGCGAAGCTGCCTATAAGCTCTATTTCTAACCCGCACAGCCTTATCACAAGCCTGATTCCACCACGGCACTGCTTTCCTCTCTTTCATCTCACCCTTAATTTTAATGGCTTTTTCTGCTGCTTTCCTCACGACTCCACAAAGAGAATTACTCCACTCATCAGTGCTACCTTGACTAACTACATCACCTAAACTTCCTACCAACTGATCTCGAAATTTATCTCAATCTGCTTTAAAAAAATTAAACCCTCTCACCGCTCTCTCCTTCTCCACCTGTAAAACACTACCAAATTCACTAAAAATAGGGAAGTGATCACTCCCTAAGGTGTTAAGTTCCATAGGATACCAACTCCCACACCTAGCAAGTTCACCTGACGCAAAGGTTAAATCAATACATGACAACCTCCCACTATTCACCTGAAACCTAGTCGGTCTACCATCATTTAACACCACCAAATTGTTTTTATCTATAAAATCTTCTATTAAACCCCCATTTCCATCTTTGATTCTGCTGCCCCAAAGAGGATTGTGAGCATTAAAATCTCCTGTCCACACCACTGGAGGTCTCACCTGATTTGTTATTTCATCTAACTTATTTCCAACCGAAGACAAGGATTATAAAAATTCACCAATGAAAACCTACCTGCTGTGCTCCATACCTCAATTGCTACACATTCCAATCCTGAGGTAATATTTAATTGTCTATATTGAACACCTTTTTTAACAAATATTGCACAACCCCCTCCAGATGAATTTCTGTCTTTACGTAAACAAATAAAACCTGGCATCACAAAATCTAAAGACGGTTTTAACCATGTCTCCTGAATGCATAACTGTGGTTTGTTTTTGCAACCATCCACAAACTTCTTTAATTCCTGTCCATTAGCTTTCAAACTCCTGGCATTCCACTGCAGAATACAAAACATTAATAGACTAACTATCAATTTCATCATCATCATCATCATCCTCCATTTGGCCTCCGTTATTCTTTTCCCTTCTCTCTCTTGAGAACACATATCTATAGAGGGCCGCTGGCTCAACCTCTACAACCCCAAGACTCCTCTCAGCAGCCTTCACCACACTTCTTACAACGTCTGAATTATTCTTAGTCTGCTTCATGTCACACATCACTTCCACAATGAAAGCCAGGAATTTCATCTTACTCACCACCACTGAATCTTCTGTTACATAAGCTACCAGCAGAGGGCATTCCGCTTGTCTTCTCCTTATGTCACTCACCTCACCACATGTTGCAACCTTTTTGACAGCCTCAGCTTAGGGAGACTAACAAAGGGGTGTCTTATCCCCTTTGTTAGTCTCCCTAAACTGCTGCACCCTCATCGCCTGCTTATATTGTTCACATTCACGATTTCCAGCTACGTGCCCTCCACCACATGAACCACACTTTACCAAATAATGACAAGCACCCTGGGAACACTCGTTCTGGAAGGGCTCTTTCCAGAAAAGACACCACAGTTGATGAATCCCGCTTAGCTCCATCACGAAAGATTTTAATTCGTGTGGCCTCACCAACCTTCGCCCCCTCTATGCCCTTCACCAACTCAACCATGGAAACCTCCAGAGAAACACCATAAATCACCCCTTTCAAGCCAGCCTTGCTCCCTGGAATAAATCCTTCCACCCGCCTCTTCCCTATCGCATCCAGTGCAACAGCTCTGTTCAACTGAGCCGCAGACTTGCAAAATACAAGCAGTTTCCCATCAGCCAGAATTCTTGCACTCAGGATATCACCCAACTCTTCCTTCAATGCCCAGCAAGTCTAATTGGGTTAAGAGAACTAAACGCAGACTGCCCTTCCTTCAACTTAAAAATCACTTTATACTCTTCCGACTGGCTGCTGCTTCTTCTCATTACCTTTACCTGCTGATCTCTCCCTCCATCTGACTCTTGTGAATCACTACTTTTATTTCTCCTTTTCCTATTCTTCCCCTTACTATTTCTTTCCCATCCGCCCCCACCATCATCCGTGTCCTGCATTGCAGGAACAAAGTGTTTTTCTTCTTCGTAATGTTTCATTTCTTCCTGTTTAACCTTAACGTTACTGACTCGAGTCACAAAGTTAACATCCCGTGAATTATGCACTCCCAACAGCCACATGGAACTGGCATTTTGAATTTGGGATACCGACATT